CCGCCCCCCCCCCCCCAAAGCGAAACTTAACCAATTCCAGCGATCTGCAACTTGATGCTCCACTATGGACTTTCTGCGTGGACGTGTGGATGCTTCGGGGTTGTGCGCCACAGGAACACTTGAAGTGTAGGCACTGCAAGCACACCCCGGCACTGGAGAAGACACTCGGCGGTTGGCCACTGCAGGGACAGTTCGGCGTAGGCATTCTGGAATTGGGTGCTGCAGGAGACGCGCAGGGGTGGCATTGGGCACTGCGGGGACACTGCAAAGACACTGACGGGTTGCGCGCTGCAGGGACACTCAGAGGTAGGGCACTGCAGGGTGGGCGAGGAGAATGCAGACTTCGTAACATCTACCCACCCCACCGTGAGTCTGGGGAAAACAGAGACCAACCAGAAACCTGCATGCTGTCTGCAAGTTGCTTGCCCAGGAGGTCTTGATGGTCACTGATCTGCTTCTCAGCTTCCTGGAGCAGTGTGACCTGCCAGCTGAACTGCAAGAGCCCCATGAGCGCTATGACAAACTTTCGTAGGCAACAATCAAACGCAAGCACGTGGGGCTTATAGCAAGGCTGGCAGACTTCCTGTCTCCTGAGCTAGCAGAGGGCGCTAGAGACATTTTGTTGGCCGCTGCCTCAAGACAAGAATTGCACGCTTTGTACTTCCATTAGCTTCCAAGTTGACAGGCGCCGGAGACGGCCATGCAAAGAGCTGAGAGCGATCTCATCTCTGCATGTCTAATGCGCTTCATGCAGCTCAGAAGACTGAGGCCGGAGCCACGGCCTTTGAATGTGCTGGTGCCTCAGGGGCCCACAAAATACTGTAAGGTTCTAACGCGTGGATTTGGCCTCCCTTCTCGCCCTCGCCTTGGTGGGTCTTGCATTGCGTGCCTGCTGAGGAATCTTGCATGCTTGGCAGGGAGCCGAGGGGGACCTTACCAGATGAGTTTTCAAATCCGAAGCTGTAGCAGAAGTGAGTCATTTCATGAACACATATCCGTGGCGGACACAGATCTGAGGATCCTGTGCGAGTGCTGCTACCTTGCGGGGTCCAACTCTTAACTTTCCCAAGTTCATGGTCATGCCGTGACTCTTTTCATAGTGGACAGTTGTATGGGGTACCCCTTCCGTCCAATCTCATGCTCAGGCGCTGCAACCTATCGCGTTGAGCTTCGATTTCGACCAGCACGCAAGCTCACAGGCTACTCCTCGCCACCCACCCCACGCAAGCTGTGGACCACGTCAAATCATGCGCAAGCCTGACATGTTCTGACTTGATATCCTTGAGGCCTCTGAATCTGCAAGCTTGATGATTGTTTTGCGCCGCTTAGCTTTGTTCAGACCACCTGAATCAGCTTTGTACTGGGTTGGGGATCCATGTTCCTGCAGGCGATCTGACCACTTGGTTGTTGCCATCGCTGCCCACCCTTTGGCCCGATGACTGGACCCCAAAGAGGAGGCGTGAGAGCATGCAGCAGTCACTAGTCATCTTGCATGCTGTCATTGCCCCCCATGGTACAGGATGATGTACTGTCCCTCGCTGGCGCTGTCCATGGCGTCGCAGGCAAAGCAACGGTGCCTCATCCTTGCATTGTTCCCCTGTTTCGTCTGGGGCGGAGGAGATCTCGCTACAGCTGTCTCCGCTGAGCCTGTCGTTTACGCCCATGGCTCTGGCGCTGCTGATTCGTGGCCTGCGCCGTTGGGGCAGCGCACGGCAGGACGACAGGGGGAAATTGTTGAAGGACAAAGCGCACATACGTTTCAAAGCTCAGCTCGAGGATGTAGCTCCCATTATGGAGAAGCGCAGCACCTTCAGCAGTTCTTTCGCAAGTTCAGGCCGACTCGGGACAGAGTAGTTCTGCACGGACAGCTGCTGCGCGTTTACCAAGAGATCCAAGAGCCCCTCATATGCTTTAGAGCAGGTGAACTCTCAGCATCTCCCCGAGAGTGGCGCTTTGCTCTGTGCGTGCGAGTGAAGCAGTTGGAGCTGGAATTGGCACTTGGAGAAGTACCAGCAACTTGTTTCGAATCCTGAGAGGGCAATGTCGAGCGTCGTTGAACCCAGCTAGGATGGCAGGCATGCTGCATGCTTATTGGCTCTGCAAGGTGATGAAAGGCCGCCTGCAACACTGGGACCTCACCATGGAAGGCAGGCACGATGTAGGTGTCAACGGTGTCAACCTTCATGTTCACCTGCCGCAGGCACATGTATGGGTGGCCTCAGCATGTCGAGCTGTCTGGCTTCGGCATTTCTGTGGGTGCCTGGTGCCAGCCGACCTGTGCTGAAATTCCTTGGAGCCTCACACCTCTCCTTGACGCTTCCGTTGGGAGAGGCAGCCTTCAAGGAGGAGCAGCCATGAGTGAAATCATCGGAAACCTTGAAAAACGCTGACACTTTTGGACCATGTCTTGGCAAATGACCCCTGAGCAGAATCTGAGGAGCTCTCCGTTCGATGCGTTGTGGCACCACTCTGGATTTGCCTGGACTGCACTGCCTTTTCACTGACTTTGGATTACTTGGCGGAGCTTGAAGAGGCGCTGCATGGGGAAAAAACACCTGGTGGTACACTAGGGCCGATGCCCCCACAGCCATGACATGTGCGAAGACAGCTTTGCATGATTGCAAAAGTGATTGTAGCTTCGCCCCTTTTTGTCAGCAGCAAGGCATTCGCCAGCAACTCGCTTGCTTGCGAGTCTACGCTGGACCTCACTGCGCACATGCCTGCCCAAATGTACACAGCGCCGCTGTCCAATGCGGTCTGCTGTCCCCTGCCCAGACATGTTTTTGTGCAGATACTGCGGGATGTAAAATGTGAGACTGATTGAGCGGTTTGAGTGAGGCTTATTGCCAGAATGCTGCTATCGATTGCAGCAGTGGGACGTACATCTCTCCCTGACCAACCTGTCTTTGTTCATCCCCACGACGGCGGAAGACGGCGGCGACCCCCAAGGGGTTTTAATCGGTTGCGCTGCCAAATGGTCTTTCCGACAATTGAGGAGCCGATGCTTGGTGTCCGGATTTTTTGCAGCCCAAGCAGCGCAAAGTGCCTCCTTCACAGGCACTCCGCCGAAGAGCATCAGCGGAGCCATTTTCCATCCCTGCCGCCTCAAAATCGAGTTAAATCTGGCATTGGAACCTTCGCAGGTGCTTCGGGGGGTCACTGGACGCCTCGTGGTGGATCCAGTTTGCATCTCTCTCAAGACTGAGCATGTTCCCTTGCTCTTGCAAATTTGGCAATATATTCGCTACATGGATTCCATTCTTGCAGCATTCGGGGCAGAGCCCTGTCTGGAAAAATCATCCAGCACTGGCAGCCTGAATTGCAAAGCAAGGACTGAATTCTCAGAGAGCTCTGACTCCAGCCGAGTCTGGCGGGCAAGTTGTGCTGACATTCGCAAGGTGGTGAAGATCTTGGAAGAATTCATCCCTGAGTGTTTTATGCATTTCTGCGATCAGATGCTAAGTCTGGTCTGTGCTTGCAGGCTGCAGCTGGAAGTGGAGCTTTGTGCATTGCATGTTGGCTTGGTGCAGTCGTCGACAGATGCAGAGCTTGTAATCATTTTAGTGGAGGATGTGCTGGTTTCGTTGGACCGGACCTTGGCAGGTTTCACGACACTGGGCGGAGCTCCTTCCCCTCTGTCTGGAACCTCAGCAAGCAGTGCACCTACCTCGCCAATCACTCGTTGCCCACGACGACGTGAGCACTTCGTGGTGCATGTCGGTGCACTGTCTGTTGACATTACTTCAACAGAGCTGGCAAGGGCAGCCACGCTACTAGAGCCTGTCTGCTTCGTTTTGGACCTGTATGAAGGCCACAGACATCAGCCATCCAGTTGCAAGGTGTCCTGGATGAATCTGAACATCAGTTCAGCATTGATTGAGACCATGGTGAGCTTGTACAATGATGCTTCCAAGAGAGCAGCCTCCATGCAACATTGCGAGCCTGACACGTCTGGAGGGACTCCAGTTTCTCTACGATGCTTCTCACCTAGTGCACACTCGGGATCTTCCCCTGCGGCACGCCCAGTCTTGCAGCGCCAGTTCAGCATCTCTTCTCGTCAGCCGCAGCTGTCTGTGTGGAACTTGCTTGGACAGGATATTGCAGTGACAGTGGTCGAAACAGGTGGGTCAAGTATCTCAGAGCATATCTCCAATGAGTCAAATGGAATTGTACAGATGCCATGGTGCGGCATCCGAACCTCTAGTGCTGGCGATCCTCGGGGCTGGGCTGTGCAGTTGAGAATGGCCGAAGTTCCTGAAGTTGACGTTTCGTTGCACCTGTCCGCTGCGGCGGCCATCAAGTCTGTTGCGGTGAAGCCTCGATACTTGACCAGCAGCTCGTCAATCAGCACTTCGCTTCGGAGGCTGGGTTCCAAATTTCGTTGCAACAGCAGCGAAACCAACACAAGCACGCAGAGCAACTTGGACATGGCAATGAAAATGGCGGCACCTCCTCCGCCACTCTCTGGGCAGTGCTGGATTCTGGTCCGCACGGAAGTTGGCAGCAAGCTTCACGAGCTTGAGGTGCACATCAGCTCAGTGCTCTTCTTAGAAAACCGAACCAGTGTCAGCATTTCTGTGGCACCATACGGCACGTCTTTGGAGAATTTCATGGAGCTTCCTCCGAAGAGTCGACCACGGCCCGTTCCAGTTTCGTGGTTGGCAATGGGACCCGATGGAAAGTTGCCGCCCACGCTTTGGGCCGGAGTCTCTGACGAGGTCAAGATGCCATTCTTTGGTAGCTCAGGCAGCTCCTTGAGCATGACGGCGGTCATGTCAGGCGTGTCAGGCAGCACGGACTCCATGGAGAGGTGGACCTGGATGAGAAGCCAGCGCAAGAGAGGCATGCTCCAGCCCTTGCCCCTTTGCAGCAGACAGCAGTACAGCATAACTCAAATAGCTTAGCAGCTTGTCTTGGCTTGGTCCTGTTGTGGTAGCAGGTTGTCTTGTCTCAGTAACTGGTGATCTTTGTTTGTAGGACGATCTGGGCCCAGCAGGGTCGACTGAATGCAATCCTGCAGGATCGGCTCGAGAACGTGGCAAGCCATCTGTCGCTACAAAAGCATGGTGGCGAATGACTACTTCCTTCGATCCAGGATGATTCGTCTCCACGATCGTGCTGGCGATGAATGTGCCTGCTTCAGTGCCACTGTGTCTGGGGTAAGTGCGGACTTACAGGCCTCCCTGCAGGCGCTGATTTTCTCCGTTGCATTGGACCCTGCTGCCCAAATCTGCAACAGGATGCCCTGCGCTTTGCAGCTACAAACGGAGGAGGGCCCGCTTCTGATCCGACCAGGCGAAGATGTTGACATCTTGAAGCCATCGCAGCAACTGCAGCTCTCCTTGGAAGCACCCGTTTCCACCGGCCTCTCGGAAGATCCTGTGCGCTTGCATTTGGCCACAGCGTTGTGGGCTGACCGGTTGCCTAGAGAGAAGCACCAGAAGCAGCTCGTCTTCGAAGGGGACAAGACTCAGAAGTGTGAAGAGAGGAAAGATAGAGATGACTTCCGGGAGTTGCCTCGCTTGGTGGCCACCTTGGAGACGGAGCCGGGCCTGAACATGTCAGAATGCTGGGCTCCGCTCCAGGCAAAGTGTGCAAAGTGTATAGCATGCTAACGTTGACTCCAAAGTACTAGCCTTTCGATGGATCAATCTGTTCAGGACCGTCAATATTCAATGATGTGCGATCTTGATGCATATGGCACAAAGAAATCAGAGGGGGAGTGCCTCTATAATAAACTCAATGAACCCGAGTTTGGTGGCCTGCGGCCTTTTCAAATCAATAAGGGAAATGAGGAGATCCCTTCGCTTCGGTTTCTGCTGATTCCTGAGGAGTGGCTCAGTTTAGCTTTGAAGAGAATAGGAAGGTCCTTGGCTTCTAAAACCTATCAGAGTCATCACTATCTCATTAGAATCATTGAACATGTATCTGAAATTTTTGAACTGAAGTAAACCCAGTGTAAATCTAATTAATACCTCTTCAAATCTAATCAAAAACCAAGCAAGAACTGACATTCGTTTAAACATCAACTAGACATCCGCACGAGTCCCACGCAAATTAAAATGGCCTCACCATTAACCCAGCCCAAAAACCTTTACATAGTTGACACCCCAACTCTTTTTATTTTATTGGGGATCAGGAAGTCTGCTGGGCTAGCCCCTTTGGAATTTATTGCCGGGCCTACTGGAGTAAGTGGTTGAATGAGAAATCGATGGTTTTGGTAGCCTCAAACACATTCCACAGGTAATAGAACCTGGCCTTTCTGTTTATAGCTCAGGCCTTTAAATCTAATAGTTAACCCGGAATTGACACCTCGCATATTATCAATGAGCAGGGGGTCTGCTGGACTACCCCCTTTGGAATTTGATTGCCTAGCCTGTTCGAATAAGCGGTTTAAAAAGAAATGTTTTTGGTGGCATCGGATTCCAGGTTCCAAAGGTAATAGAGCCTGGCCTTCATATCCTGGCATTTAGAACCAAGAGCATTCTGGCCTCATCAAAAACCTTCCCAGAATTTCTTTTTTCGGCAAACAAAGTTTACTTTATTGACACCCCCCAATCGAATAGGGGTCCAGAATAATGTTCTGAAAGCTTTACTTCATTGCACCCCTCCGCACCTCCGCACTAATTAGGATTCAACATTAGACAACACTTTAGCAATAGCGTTTCTGGAGTTTTCACCGCCTTCTGACAGCTTAAGCAACCCCATTCTAGAGCCCGCAGGCTTCTGTCTCTAATCGCTTCAAACCGCTTTCTAGAGCCCCCTGAGATGGCTTTAGAACCCTCAGGCCTCTCTAGCTGCTTTAGCAAAAAGATTTTTGAAGTGCTGAGCATCTCTACAATGGCTTCAGCAACAGCATTCTAGAGCGCTGAGGTTTCTCTAGTTGCATTAGCAATAGCATATTAGAGGTCGCCACCTCTATTCAACAGATGCGATTTGGGGCTGGAATTTCCTGCTTAAGCTGGGGGAAAAAACTATTGTGACTCCAGGCCAGGCCAGGGACCTGCTGAGATCCAGCCGAGCCCCCAATGCAGGTCCGTCAATACTCGCCGCGATCTCTTCGCCTGATCTTCTTCACGCAGTGGCTTGGTGCTGCAGTGGCTGTCTCCATGCCTCGCGATCCGTTGCACCATGCGTTGCACTGTGCGAGTTCTGGTTATATCCTTGGATTTCGAGGTACTGGCTTATGAATCGACGCAGTGACTGTCGTGTCTGTCTGCCCCGAGTGGACCTCCCAGCCAGAGCTGAAACAGGCAGGCAACTTATGCAGCTTTGAGACTTCTCTGAGCGAGACTGTGCACTGCAGTGTTGTATTTTGGTACTTGTAGTATCTTGCGTAGTTGCCAAAGCACGGGAGACTCATGTGCACGAGCGGGTTGCAGAGCGGGTTGCAAGCCAAGTTGAGTGGGTGAGCTGAGAGAGAGTTGTTCCAGTGTTTAGATAGCTCATGATAGCTCAAAACTACTGACTACTGCTTTTGAGCAGGCATGTTCGTCAAAACCGGCCAGTCGCAGCATGCAATAGCATGCGTCAGCGCTTAGCATAATTCAGCGATGCGTTGACTTTGCATTGAATCTGACGTGCGGCTCCTTGTGCTGTGTTGGAGGCTTGGCAAAGTTCGGCAGCAAACGCCCTGGCCAGCATCCTACACGCCACGCCCTGATGCAGTACGGCAGCAATTCACTGCGAATGGTGTCAGAGGATCTGGTTAGGCAGGGTCAGAATGTGATGTGTTGAGAGATGTTTTCGCAGGAGAGCAATTACGTTGAGTGATAAAGGCATTTAGAGTCAACACGTTGCAGGCGTGGCAAAATACGTCTTGGGCTCTGCGACCAGCGCTACAACGCAAGCGGCGAGTCTCTCGTGCCCGTCACCCAAGCGTTCAGGCGATGCCTGCACATGAACTGATAGAAGAGGCACCAGACATACTGCCAGGGCGGGCACGTAGAGGCAATCCTGACGGTTGAGCTCAAGACTTCGTGATTTGTACATCGCCTTGACATTTTCTAGATGAATTCGGGCTAAGTGATCGCACGCATTGGAAGGGCTACTCGTAACTCGGGGTGGCTTATGAGCATCATGAAGTCAGCCCACCAGTTGGCAGGATACGGCAACCTACGGTCGGGTCCCTGGTTCTGCGCGACTGTGCAACAATTTGCTTTCAGACGTGCACTTTGCCATTCGGTTGCTGAGGTTGGCTCCGCAACGGCACCTCGAACGGATCGCAATCCAGTTCAACGATGCTTCGGATATACCGTCAGACCAGCCCCGCTCCCTTTTCACCGGACTTTGATCGTGGAGGTGGTTCGCCGCTACACGTTGCTCAATCACAAAGACCATCCTCTGTTCTGCTTCGAGCAAAACGTTTGTCTGGCCCCATTGGAACTTTCAGCAGGCTCTTCAGCTGCGTTTGATCCGCAGGGAGCAAAGCTGCAGATAGCAATCAGTGGAGTCGGCCCATCCTATGGTGCCAACACGTCCAGCACCACTGCTTCAAATCTTCCAGCGAATGAAAGACCAGCAGACCGAATTGTCACACTACCTCACAGGCTAAAGCACGAGACGCAAGATCTTGAAAGCGGGCGCCGAGGTCCTAAGAGGGCTGTGACATGGGCCGATCAAACAGAAAACCAGGTTGAAGCAGACGTGGTTATGGAAGATGCGGAAAGAGAGAGCCAGCAATGGGACTGCTATTCAGCCTCGTTTTGTCTTGCTGAGACCAGCAGGAGCAGGTTTCAATTGATGCATCAAATTGACCTCTCCTGCTTTGTTTCTGCCTTTGCATGTGCTTCTGCACACCTGGCAAGACCTGAGCCTCTGGTCGGTCCAGCAGAGCCGCCAACGGCGCATGGCCGTGCTTGGTGTCTAACAGCTGTGGACACCATGGTGGAACAAAGCTCCGTCGTCGTGCGCTTCTCGGAGCCCCTGCGGCCACAGTTCCGCATCATCAACCGCACGGGACATCCGCTGGGCCTCTGCCAGGCAAGGCCAGGCTAGAGGCATGAATGGACATATAACTTTACAACTATTAGTGTGCGTCCAGGTCCGGGATGCCCCACGGTATCTTGGACGTAGGACTAAGGCATGCCCAGCCCATTGAGCACATGCATAATTCGTTGAGGGAGGCGGGTACGCTTGGATTAGTACCATGGTACAGGATGCTATGGATTCTAGTTCTCTCTTTCATGCGGTTCCGGGAGTTATGCTCGAGATACATGGGCTTTACAAGGGCTGCTAGTTTGGGTGCTCGAATCCCTCTGGCCTGTCAGGACTGTGAAGGTGCGCCTTCTCTTGAGCTGGCACCAGAAAGGCGCATGAGCTTCTGCTGGTTCCAGCCTGAGTCACCGCAGCTGCTGAAGCTTCGCCTGGGACCCAAGGAGCCTCACAGCTGCAACTGGCATAGTTCACAGATCTTCACGGCACAGCAGTCACAGCGATGCATTGGCTGAATCTGGCTGCTGAGGCATAGCTACGAGGTTGGAACGGTGGAAGAACACTTTCCCCCGCTCCACGTTGAGAGGCCACCGCAAGGTGCTGCTGCAGGTTGGTTTCGAGAAGAGTTTTTGGTACAGACCAAGGTGGTTAGAGGCTCGAGAGAGGTCCACATACATCCGCATTGCCGTCTCACAAACTTGAAGGGACAACCATTGCTGGTGCGATCTGGAAATGCAAAGGCAGGTGAGATGGCGGTGGTCCCACATGAAGGCTCCGTGTGCTTGCAGAGAGAGTGCAAGACAGCTGAGCACGTCTTTCTTCAAATTGCCAGTTGCGCGCAAGATTGCAGTCTTGGCGCCTCTGCAACCCACTGGTCGGCACCCATCATGCTCACAAAGAATCTCTCAGGGCACCGTGGCTTCCTACGACACATGACAAGTGGCGGCGCAGGAATGACATCTGTCTTTGAAATTACTATGGTTGACGTGAAAAAAGATGCAGTGTCAGACTTTTTGGTTGTTGAGCTTCGCCCCTATGTCCAGTCGAAGTGTCCATACTTCATAGAGAATGCCAGTCGCCTATGCTGCAGCGTCAGCCAACTGGATGGACCGGAAGCTGGCGCAACTTTGGATCTTTTCCCACAAGAGAGCGCTCCGTTTGTACCCGTGGGCGCTGTCTTGGGTGGTGCCGGCAGTTTTCAGGTGAGACTGTCCGCGATGGGTGAAGACGACGAAGTCGATCATAGCGCCGTCATTGACATTGAGCTCCCACAGGAGGCAGTACTTGGCCCCCTTCATGTCCAAGTGCTGAAGGAAAGACCTCGCCACATCATCATCAGAGATGTGGGCGCTGTTCAGAAGTCAGGTCTCAGACGAAGCCGCAAGAGCCAATTGCAAGCTTTCCCTCCTTTTCTGCTGATGAGGCGTTTGCTGGGCACTGGCAAGGCTTGGATTCCCGACTGGAAGGACGGTAAGGAAAAGCTGGCGGTCCCGAAGGCAATTCCGTTGTCCCCGCGCAGACGAACGAGATTGTCCGCCTATGGTAGCCAGTTTGGAATTGGAAGCCCGGCATCTTCGCGCAAGAGAACCTCAACCCTTCCTCTTGGTACCTCGAGACCTTCAAGTCCAGGTGGGGTGCAGCGCCGTAGGCCTACACACTTCACAGGAGCATCCACACCCCGACTACTTGCCATGCCAAGTGTGCGATCTTTGGGTTCTCCAATCTCACGTCTCAGGAAGGGGACTCTGGACATTTTCTGGACACGCAGTGGACGCAAGCGCTCATATCGATCGAATGGCATTGTTTTCCAGCTCTGTGCAGAAGGGGCAGGGATCACACTGGTGGACAGCACTGCTTTGCACGAAGTTGCCTATCTTTGTGTGGAAACTCTGGTCATCAGCTCCACAAGAGATGGTGTGCAACATGAACTTGATGTGAAACTGGGCTGTGTTCAACTTGATGTGAGGGATAATGGTACCAGCTGGAGGAGCAATGTCATGCTGCGGCCACAACGGCTGCGTCTTCACAATCCTGTCCGGACCGTCAAGGAGAGGCCCTTCCTTGTTTGCAGTGCCACCTGGACAGCGCTGGATCGTGGAGCAGGCTGAGAAGCAAAAGCCAGAAACGCACTTATGTAAACGGCGCTGTCCATACCACACACAGCTCTCTTTGAACAGCTGTGGAGAGAATGATAGGCGTATAAGTGTTTTCAGGGTTAACAGTTTTGTCTAATGTGATTAGAGCTGTTTAGTGTTCGATTTCTTCAGCCGGTCAAGGTGCAGCTGCTCATCTGGAGGTGGAAAGCCTCAGAATCGTGCCTCGGCAGCAAGGGCATCAACTGGTTTCCAGCGCGTTTACTTCCACATGCCGCTCTGCCCAGTGCCGCAGAAAAGCATGCAAACCAATACGAGGACATTCAGCCCATTGAGCTGCGACTGGACACCCTGAGCTGCTTCCAGCTGGCACACTATGGCTTGGATTTGCTACGAAGGGCAGAGCCCATCATTGCTTCCCATCCACTCTTTGGGCATCTACGGCTCATGTTGAAGACTCACTGGAGGACTAGCTTTTGTGGAACATGCGCGGATAAGCACCGACGACCGATACCCCCGGCTTTCGTTCCACGAAAGACTGCGCTTCCTATCTGCGCGCCCCCAATTAAGCCTACTTGTGCGGGAGGAGCGACGGGGAGCAGCTACTTGTAGCCGAAGAAGGTGAGCCGCAAGACCCCGTGCTTGGCGAACCTCCGTGGCTTGGCCAAAACTACTGCCCGGAGCATCAACCTTTTCGGTTCGGAAGAATTCAGAGGTCGACTCAGGCACAACTTTGAGATGGAAAGCCGTCAAAGTCTTTTGGTCCTTGACGCAATGGAGGTGCCCTGAGGGTGATGACTTCAATGTGCCCACGCCGGTCTTCTTGAAAGAGCTGCAACTTGGCATAGCAGATGCTGGTGCAGCTTTTGACAAGCTTGTACCAAGTCGTGAATTGGCCCGACAAGACAGTGAGGCAGTGAGGTAGCACTTTCTATGCCAGGTTCGTTAGGCGCATTCAGTTCTTTGTGTCTGTTCGCTTCAATGGGAAGGCAGGACACAGTGTGTGGGATGTCATGATATGATCAGCGAAGAAACATTTGTTTTAGCATGCGGCATGTCACCAACCCTGAGCAGGGTGCGACGGATTGCCACGGCAACGAAGCCCTGCATGCGGTGGACATCCTTTTGCGCAACTGGGACCTAGTTGCCTGTGGCAGTTCCAGACATTAAGTATTTGTTGAATTAAACCTCCTGAACGTCGTTCCTCTGACAGCGGTGCGGATGTGTTCGTACTTAGTTGGTGGAGAACATGCAGATCCAAACGCCCATTGCTTGCTTGTTGTACTTCAAGGTAAACTGATCCCGTTCGACGTTTCGCAGGCGCGCATTTCGATGGGGCCGCAGCTTGTCGGCACAGTCTCGATGGAGCTGAATTAAATGGGGTGCTTGCATGTTCTTCCTGCACCCGGCATTGCAAGGTTCTTCCGGCGGCGGGGAGCAACAGCTCCAAGCTCGCCATCACTATGGAGGTACCAGAATTGCGAAGGAATTGTTCGAGCAAGCAGGCATTCTTGATCCCAAGACCAGCAGGCGCCTACTCCGATTTATTCCCTGCATCGGGGATACCGACGCTGACGAAGCCCAGCTCCAACGAATAATTGGGGTTCATCTCAGAACCAGACTGGTCATCCCTGTTCTGTTCCCGTAACCTCATTCGGACCAAGGCGCACTTGTCCGACGAGTTCTTACCACATGGCTTTCATGAGCTGCTCTCCGAAGCTGCCTCGGCTACCGGCACTGCAGTCCTGCGGCAGATCCCGCGACTTGGCTTGGAAGCACTTGCAAATACAAGCGTTCTTCGCGTGCTGCGTGAGGCAGCTGCTGGGCGCCCAGCGAGTCCTGGGAAGTCCGGCGCAGCTCTGTGCCGAGCTGAACCAAGCTCTACGTTTGGCGCTTTTCGGTTCCTTGGCTCATGTCGGCTTAAGCCCCTGCGGCCAGCAGCTACAAGGCTTGACTTTTCATCACATCACATCTGTTGGGCGGAGGAAAGCAGTCATGAACAGCTCTGCAAGGGAGAAGCTGCAGTAGCAAACCCCCAGCCACTCACAGCTGGGGCGACAGCACGAGGCATTTGCAGCTGCAGCCCTTGGCTTTTGATCGCCGCACTTCTCACGGTACTGGCTGCAGTCCTGGCGCTTGCCCTACAAGCCGTGAGATCATGTCCTAGCTGTTCAGAAGGCACGAGCAGCTAAGGAGTCTGTCGAGGGCATCTTCATGATTGTCGCAAAGTTGCGCGGCTCAATATTTAAACACGTGATGCCCATTCAGCCGTTCCATTGGATCAATGGCTTGTGGGCTGCTCGCACGTCATCTCAGGACAACCTGCCGCATAACAGCTGGCACCGTTCCCACCGGCCTTCGGAAAGAGCCGTCCGGCGTTCCAGGACAGGCTATGAGTAGCTGTGGCTTAGCACCGCCTCTCGCTGCCATGCTGAACCCAGTGATTGACGTCAGCGCTTGACCTAACAGTACGTAAAGCTGGCTGGCCGCGAATACAATGTTCGATTTCGTCAAGGGTGGCAGGCATGTGCTCTCAATTGCTTCGCAGGAGCACTCATGGACCTGCTATGGTATGGCTTTCCTTGGCATGCGCAGCAGCTCTATCGCGAGTGCAGACGTCAGAGTCACATAGCTTATTCTGCCCACTCGATCACCGACCCTGGTCGGCATTGGCTGCTTTGAGTGACACTGTCTCAGGAACATGTTTCAAGACCTCGGACTTCAGGTCAGTCTGCGGTGCATGCTCGAAGGAACCTGGCATTTGGTGTTTTCCATCGTCTCGTCCAGCATGGTCATTGCGACCTGCCCAACTGTCACAGTTTGGTTGAAGTGGTTTGAGGGATTTAATGGGTACGGGGGAAGCTCTGTGCTGAGGTGGCAAAGCTGTTCCAGTCATTGCAGCTGCTCTTCCACACGCTTGCAGCTCGACTCTACAAAATGTGCACGCACGCCATGAGATCTTTTGAGGGAAGAGGGCATGCATCTTGGTGCTCTGCAGGCATGGTATGTTTGTCCAGAACGTGTGGCAGAGCTGGGTGCTCCACTTTCTCGGCGAGTGGGACCTTTGTTGTTCCACATTGGTTCGCCTTTACAGTACTCTCACTCTATGACTTCCATCATGGGAGTGGTGCACAAAGCTGTGAGGGGCACCCGCCTTCGAGACTGGCGACTGCGGCATTTGCCGGGAGGTGATGGATCTCTGCTCGCTGTACAGGGCTCCGGATTTTTCCTCGTGCGGTCAAGCGCTATTCGGCGGTGCGTGCCTGCACGAGAGGCTGACGTATTTCTGGCATGGCAAGCGCGGGGCAACTGGGAGAGAGTGGAACTGCGACTTGTCCGTCCAGCCTTGAGGACAGAGCGCAAGGAACTGCGCCGCAGCTTTATGCTGTGCCTCTACCGGAGGACCGCCCCTTACTGCAAGGTGCTGCGGCTCGGGAGCCGTCGAGCGGCCCTGAGTGCCTTCAGCTTCGCGCAGGAGCCGCGGTGGCAAATTAGAGACCAAACGCCTTCATTCATTTCAACATATTTCAATACTGTAGAAGGGGCTTCTTTCTTTTGTGCGCTCTCTACCCCAACAGCTTGCCAAGGCAGGCTTAGTCTTGCATTCAAACTAAAGCAGCTCTGAATCAGAAACTTCAGCTTGACTTGTGGAGCACAGCTCTCAAACAAGTTTCAGATGCCTCTCAGATGCATTGCGTGAGAGACTGCAAGTATGCGTGCGCAAAGTCATATGGAACTTGCCGGAAAGATGCTAGCTTAGCCTGAGCAATGCCAAGTGGGCTGCACTAAGGAATGCATTTCTAGTTGGGTGAGGGCCGAAGTACAGGCTCAGATGGCTCCAGATACGCCCAGATTGCGGCTGCTTAGGAGGGTGCATCGATCTGCAGCTGTTCGTGCATCCAATGCATAGCGGGGCTGGATACCACCAGTCGTTCCAGTCTACATGTAGTCAGGCGAAGTTGTTGAGCAGGCAAGCTTTGCCGTGCAAAAGTTGTGCCAAATCAGAGTGTGCAGTTCTCGTTCGTTGTGCCAAAATCCTCTTTACAGAATCTTGCACAGCTGCCTCGCCTTCGACATTCGCCAACCTGCATGTTGGTGTCAATGTCTGCATCGGCCCATGACCAGGTGCTGGCACAGCCATCCTCAGCATGTTTTGTACAGTTAGTGGCATGGCTATTGCTACCATATTTTGAAGTCTGAGACCGGCGGCGCTCCGAGTGGAGTTTTTGGTCCATGTCCTGTTCAAGTGCAAATGTACTCGGGACCCGTCACCTCAGTCTGACGGAAGCTGCTCATAAGGTGCAGCAGAGCTTTCTGACATTGCAGGCAAGTGGCAGGAAGGTCTAGCAAAGAAGGTTCTACAAGCAGAACTTTCTAGCAGTCCAGCTGATCGCCATTTGTGCTTGTATCACAACCTTCACAACTTCAACTTGCTACAGAGTCATGTCGTATAAAGTTTGCTCCAAGCGTGCACCAGGGCCTTCTTCAGCAACCAATGAGAATTGAATACAGGATGCCACTTCCCAGCAGTGAAGTTTCCTCCTTGCACGGGCACGTCCTTGAACCCTGAAGCAATGGCCATTTCCATTTGTTTGCAGAGCTGCCTTCCAGGACGTGCAAAAAAGAATCCAAGCTTAATTCACATGGAAGACTGTGCCTGGATTTGGTCGACTTGCAGGTTGCCGCCCCGATGCGCAACTCAATTGCATCCAAATGATGCGGGTTTCATTGTGGTGGACGCTGGGCTGCGTAATGCAGCCCGTTTTCAAAAGGCGCTGCTGTGCATGTGCTTGGTGCCATATGGTGTTACGCTCTGGGTGACCGTGTGGAATGTTCCATAGAAGGAAGAGCGCTTATGTCACAGGTTGTGGCCAGAATTGATGCTGTCACACACTTCTGTCCGATATCTTTGTTTCAAGTGAGCTTAAGCTGTACCAGGCTCAAGAAAAGATCTTCAGGCAGGCATGTGAAAAGCTCATGTCTCCTCCGCCAGCCTCGCCGCAGAGCATTGCCAGAAGATGGCAGAAGGCCGGCTAAACATCCTGATGTGTCCCAACAGAGCCAATGCCTTTGCAGCCATGATCGCCTGCAGCTGCTTGGCTCCGCGGAAAAAGGCTGCTTGGAAGGTGGATCAAGGGAGCAGAGTTTGAGACCACTCTATTGCTGAACTAGGACAGACTCTCTGCCATACAACCTCTGTGTGCAGCTGTGTTCTGCTCTGATGATTTCAAGGTTCTGCCACCAAGACATGAGCCGCGTCGTCTATGATGTCAATGATTGACACTGTCGTGATGGGTGAGTTCTTCTATCTTCAAGTTCATTGTCCTTGGAAACGAATCATTCCTAGCCCAAAGCAGTTCAGGAGGACTCCACCTTCGCGCTATGGCCTGCGTGTAGAATCAACGTTTGCGGTAAAGGTGCGAGGCGACGCCGAAAACCAATGGCGTGGAGGATAAAAGGTGAATTCCATTTGCTGAGCGCTGCCCATCACCATTCCTTCGCTTGATAGACACTGAGATCCGGGTGGATGCAAGGTGCAATGTTTCTGTCAGCGCATCATGACCTGAACTCCTGACATTTCTGCAGAGTCAACACCGTCGCAGTGGTGTAACTACACCTAAGAGGATCTTCTCTGGGCTCGCAGGACTTGTCAAGCAGAGACATCCCTGCATCTGTGCCGCTCGGTTGCAGCTCAATACGTTGAAATTGAGGGTGAACGTCGCAGTTGACACTGACCCAACCAGGCAGACACTTCTGCATGCCCTTTGCAGCCATGGCCTCTGGTTATGTCATGGTGGGATTGTTTTGATCCTGGTGGCCTGTAGGAGATCTTGTGTCTTTGGCGCACTTGTGCCGCCAACACGCCTCTGATGTCGACGATCAGAAGTGGTGGCAGGCTGGGCGTCAAGAGATTTCGGGAAAGTCTGACAAGGGATCTTGCCAGGTGGGTGATGTTCTGGAGGCCAGGGGCTGAACAAATCCTGCGGGTGCCAAACAACTTGAATTGCAAAGCAGGTCATCCGCGACATGTTGCATGAGGAGGGCAGCGCAGAGCAGCCACGCCGCATTTGAAAACCAGTTTCTGAGCATACTTCTTGGTACCTCTGGTGTGCGCATGGCAGATGGCACGATGTCTCTGTTCGCCTTGCGCAGCGACCACTGTCACAAAGCCCTCGACCCGGTTCACCAACGCTTGGCATGGACAGGCCGGTCATGAAAGGACCGGAATCTTGCAGTTTCCTCTCTGAAGACCCAAACTGGAAGGAAGGATCCTGCTGCAAACTCTGGTGCCAGCACACGTCGGAGAAGCTTGGCAGAGGCCGGCAGATACCTACTTTTCCAGTGGAGTCCTGTGCGGTTTGGATTGCAAACCACCAGGCCGCCAGCATGGCCTTCTCAGTCATGACTGCTGGACTATTCTGGTGCCACCGGCAAAGTCAATAATCAGGGTACTCAGTGCTCTAGGATGCTCTAGGACTCTATATTCGAGCAGCTTGTGTGAAACAGCATGTTGGTTAACACCTTTATTTGAACACTGCGGATGCATGCTGATCTCCAGGCAGAACGGCAGCGAAGAACCGCCACCCCGGGAAGATGAAAAAGAGAACAGCGCCGGCATCGCCCTTAAACCGAAGCGCAGCGTGTTCTTGTGGAACGATAGCTTTGGACTGCATGAATGCCTTGGGTCGGAATTGAGAGAGGCAGGGCCCTTTGGCCTGCTGTGTCGATGTTGAACGAAGCGGGACCAAAGTGGGTTTGGGGCCAATCACAAAGTTGAAGCAAGGAATAGGCCGGTGTGCAGAGTGGTGAAGTGCCTTCCACGTCATCATAGCCTCAAGGATTCATTCCTCTGCCCACTCCCAGCCCACTGCAGGGACAAGGGAGGGGCGCAGTAGCCAGCATGCTACTCCCAAGACAACCTTGGCGAGACGGCGGTACGCGCTATAGAGCATGCTTCCAATCCAAGATACGGACTCAAAACTGAACTTTGTTAGCTCTGATCCGCAAACACAGCGGTCGGAGCTGGGTGCGCGGCTTGCTTAACATACCTGGTTCCAGAACATGCCAGATACCTCACTGGCCAAGACTGCAAAAAACATCGATGTTTCCAACTGGCGGGGTGCCAAAGCACATGCTCCCGAGTTTCGGAACATCCAGTATCCGGCGTACCAAGACAGGACATGAAGACAGTGGGCCGCGTCTACATCAACCTCAGCACAGAGGGGGAGTGTCTCACAGCCGGTGCCATGATCAAAAAGCTGCGGAGGCCAGAGGCCAGTCGGACAAACAAAGGCCCAGACCTTAATTCCATCCCAGTCAGCAGGTGCAAAATCCCCAGCCAGATTTTGCCAAGTATCACAAACCGCCATGAACTCTGCGTCATCCCTCTTCTTGGCCTGTTGCTGCACCACTGACCGTTTGTATCTGCGAAGGATGCTCCTGCAGAGAGTTGAATCATGACGTGCCCGTTCTACCAAATCTAGCGGCACAAGGCCTGAGACTCTGCCAAAGACGGGGAATATCGCATTGACGATTGAAGGCTCTTTGCCGTGTGCCACCAAGTGTCGCTTGAAAGTCTTTGAGCCTTAAGCCTGAAGCATTCTTACCACGGGGCTAGCGGATGGCAACAGCTCCACCTTGGCCAGGCGCGGGTTTTAAAGAGGGCCTAAGTCCGTGGAAATAAGCATCCCGACTGCTGCCCTTTTTTTGATTGGGTGCCTAGCCATTGAAACGACGTGCCCGCCGGCAGGGGTTGCCCGGACCTCAGGGACTTGGCAGCACGCAAATGTTGGCATCCTCTAGGAGTATGATAGTGATATGCTAGAATCTCCACCACGAAACCTGCTGGCTCCCAAGAGCCAGCAAGCCTGTCCCGCCAGGATTCATGATGGCAATTGTCAATTTGGGGAGGGTTTGCTCAGCCGCCAAGCTTTCAAGCTCGTGCGCCAGGACTCCTCCCACAGGTAGAATGTACACCGACGAAGTTCAGGCAGCACACGGTCCCTGAGAGCACCTTGCATTACTGATGCTATACTTGCGAGCTGTGCCAAGTTCGGCGCTCTACCCCCTTGCAACAATTGCCAAAGTGGCTGGGCTGGGCGGGCGCACCTTACATCAGCCAAGTCACTGGTACTCGTACAGGTGGAGGCAAGGCTCCGCTCAGCCATGGTTACATAAGGGTTCGAGTCAACCATACAAGGCTGCGAGAGATTCGTCCGGAAGCAAGAATTTCGGGTGGAGCTCTCCAGTTCATGGGGTGGCCTATTGCAAGAAGGGGCGTTTGTTGGCCGTGTCAGGTCCACTATGGATGAGAAAGGCAGCGGCCTGCGCTTTGGAACATATTGGTTCTGGTAGTTTACCAATTGGGCCGCCGATTTATCTACGCACATCGCAAGAGATCCAGGATGTTGTGACATGTGACCTTCCTTTCAAGCTGGAGACCAACTCCACACCCCGACATGATTAACAAGACAGCATGTTTGCTGGCCGTTTCAGGCCTACTGTTGCTACTGAGCAACAAGAGTATGGCGGGAACTCCTGAAATCTCGTGGGGTTTAGGAGTGTTGGGCGTCCCTTTCTGAATGGGCATGAGGATGGGGAAGCAGGGGACAATTCCTGGACATGTTCAGGAGTAGAAACGGACGCTTGCTGATGCTAGCAGGGTGGACTTTAGGGCATCCTTTTGTTGGAGAATCCCTGACATTTCTGAGCGCAACAACTTCTCAGCTCAGGAAAGGCTGGCGAGCAAAAGGCACCAGAATCTTGTTGCAATGGGTCTCCATGGGGTTCCGTCCTACCCCATCCAGCAGTTCTACCCCACGGCGGGCCAGCCGCTACGCTTGCCGCAAGAATGCGTGATGCCAGGTAAATGCCCGTGCATCTTGCAGCTTTTGCTGACTTACCAGCGGGCACCCCTGCCTGCCTCGTTTGTTACGTAAGCTTTCATCCCTCGTGGATGCAAGTTTGGTTGCGAGATCACCGTGGATACAGATGCAGCATGAGCCCAAAAGGCCATGAATCAAATGACAGATACTCAAACGATCCTTCTTGATTCCTGACATCCGACCGTCTGTCAAGACCTCCAGCAGACCTATCACGGGTGATTGTGTTGCCTTTGCCGTTGATTGAGGCTACAAAGCAGATGACCTGGAAGAGGCAAGACACTCCGCTTAGGTGATTTGCACACACTCTCGCAAGGTGCAACGAGTTCGTCGCTCTTTCTCAGATGTATAGACAGTTTAAGCATCAGGTCTGAGAGACGTCTTGCCTGTTCTTCAGGTACACGCATCTATGGCCCCAATCACAAAACTGTTCAAGCCTCGGTGCGTGACATCATATTTACAACGGGATGCATAGTGCTACCCTGTTGAGGACGACAGAGGAAATTGTCGAAACAGCTTTGCAGGACAAGGCTCGCAGAAATGTTGACAGATGCTGCTGTTTTTGGCGACCACGCCCTGCGGCAGGATGGTCCTGATGAAGCGCGACCATTCCTAGATGCAAAGGTTGCGATTGCAGCCTCCCTGTCTCGCTTTGAGTTTGCGAGGCTTTGTAAGAAGTGGAAGCTGGATTGGTCTTTGGCTAGGGCCAGGCCGCAGTTCTGACACCACCGGTTGCTCGTCGTTGCGAAGGTGCTGGAACGGAGGCAAGAAGATGCAAGAAGCTCAAGCAGCAACTGCCCCAACTTGAGCAGAAGACCCATGAAGCATTGTACCCGCAAGCTATGCATGTCCACGCCCCGTGGCATGGCAGCGTGCGGGGAAATTGTGGCAGAGTTGCAAGTCTTGCAAACCAGTCATGCAGTAAAGAAATCTAAAGAAATGGCCTTTGGCTCACCCCGCGCAACCTGCTGCAGCCTGCTTCACCCCAGCCTCCCACTCAACACGCTTTCTCCAAATAATCTACATGGTCGAAATGGCAGATGGTTCCTGTCACTGGATGATGCCTCGTCATCCTCGCAAGAAAGAGCAGATACACTGCTAAGATGTTTTGATGGGGTAGTGCTACCATACTTACCATACCATCTGTCAAAGACCGCCCTCTACAGAGCAGTGGGCGTGACATCCATGTCGGCGAACAGATGCGAATAGGGGATCCGAACTGTCTTGCTGGTTCATGCTGCTTCATGCTTTGCATATTCTCCATCGACTTGCGAGCAGAGTACATTTTTCTCAAGGGTTTGTATGCGTCCAGCGCACTTGGAGTGCAGGGAGCCTGTGGTGGTCCTCCCAGGCAACCGAGCTCGAACAACGATAACTTCTTGAACATTCTTGCTCTACCAAGCACCAGCTTCTCCGGCTTCTCGAAATGGAATAAAGTGCCTTGATAACCCACATGCAACAAGCTGCCAACCCGAGTGCCAGAGTCTCCAACGAACCACATATTTACAGTTTTCAGCCCCTCCCTGAGCAAGGCACACATTGTCCCAACATGCGCTGTATCACCGCAACTCAAGTGTCGTTATCGATGCACGTTTGAGTGGAGGGTACCACAATTAGGTGACAGGAGACGTGCTCCTGTCAGCTTTTGAAATGCGACCTCCACCTCGCCTTAAGGTGCAGTCAGAGGGGTCTCATACAACAGGCCAGGGCTTTCCTGATCAGGCCTTATCCCTCTAATGATTGAACGTCGTGTGTCAGCCCAACGAGAGCTCAGTGCCGCAAGGATGCTCAGTTCAAGTGAATGGAAAACTGCAAAATGCCATTGGCAAACTCGTAGGTCGGAGGTCCTACGTGCTTGTTGCCAGGCGTACGTGGACTATATTCGGTAGCCGAAGTGAGAACTCTGCAATCCATGACTAATAGACTAATGGTTCTCTCCACATGGAAATCTACTGAACTACTAAGGCAATTGTCCCCATCTGGAAGCTCATAAAACCATCAAGTTAATCCCCCCGGGCGCACAAAATCTTTCGCTGGATGGTGTGCTGGTTTAATGGCTATAGTTGGCTTTTGGTTCTGCTATATCATATTCAGGGCCGTTGGGCTATTGGGTCAATAGTTGTGCGGTTGGCTTCGAACAAGAGCTGTCTGACAGCTCGTTCGAAACAGGTGTCAATGATACCCCTTGGTCTTGTTAAATGGACCTGCATGCAGGACTTCAGCCTTCGAATGGGTGCAGGTGGAGCTGTGCCTGCACCTACGGCCCGAGACGCGCAAGTGGTCGCTGTTGAGTGCTGACTGCAAGCTACTGCTACAATAATATATAAGATTGCACAACAGTTGTTGGTAGCTACACAGTGTGTGAGAGACCCATCGAGTCCCTGAAGACAGGCGAGTTGCAGGAATTCATGTCATCGATGCTCAAGGTGTAACGATCCTGTGTGCAGGTGTGTTGCATGATACGATTGCGATTCTGATGGTATTCGCGCTTGAGCAGTGCCTGTACAGAAAGCCTACGCAACACATCACCATGCGGCTGCCTTACTGCACACCATGAACTAAGTCAAAGAGACGAGGTGGGAACAAATGCTGCCTTGAAAGTTTCATGAAGGTATTGTAGTAATGAACAGATGTCCGATGCAATGGCGCTGCCTTCCGGTGACTACACGCTGCCACCCAAAGATACGGTGTTCAGCACACTGCTGCGTGGCCTGAAGACATTTTCAGACGATTTGCAAGTTGGCGTCACTGACTCCAGTGCATTTGGCTATGGATGGGCCCAGATGCCTTCGGCTGCGCGAATCGCAGCACCCCAACTTCTTCAGCCCAAGCCACCTAATCTGGCCCTTACGCTTCGGACCAGTCACCCGCATCCGATTCAGACGGCAAGGGAGACCCCTTCGTTTACGCCGCTACTCCATGCACGCAGACCACGATCCGCAGGCGCCCGTCGTTCCTTCCAAAAGTTGCCAAAGGCAGAAATGTGCCAAACGCCACGGCAGAGGCCTCAAGTTGATGCTGCCCCTGAGGGGCAGCCTAGGCGTCGAGGTTCCTTTGCTTCGCGCGAGGCTTCCTTCAACCAAGCTAGGCCAATGCGCACGCTTCCTCCTGCAAAGTCTTGTCGGCAGCGGTCGCAGAAGAAAATCTCTCCTCGGTCCCTGGAAGACACAGAAGAAGCCCTCTTGCCTGAGAAGAAGAAGATGGCAAGTACCGCACCGTTCCGGCCTCGGTCGTTCGAAGCTCTTGGAAGGAAGAGCAGATCAAAGAAGTTCGTGAATGAATGCTTAGGGGATCAACGTTGTTGGCTCAAGGTGTGTGATGCTTCTATGGCTTATGAAAGTAGTTTAGTTCTCTCCAGCCATGGAGCGTTGGGCCTGAACTGCTGCGAAGGACAAGGAGATCTGGAGGAGGAAGTTCTCGCGCACCTGGAGCTGAACTGATTCTGGTGATGCGTGCCCTCCAACTCAAGGTTGTCCACGCTTTCCTGAGCAAAAGATCAGATCTCTACAGGAAAAGCGCAGCAAACCCTGCATGGGAACACACCCGGATCAGACGTTGCCTATATTGCCTGAATGATCCAGGCCAGGCCAGCCAAACAGAAGCTGAGAGAGCCTGCTTGTTTGGAACAGCCACTTGAGGAGTCGTATGGCCTTGTCGTTCAGACCCTTCGCAGTGCCACGAGGAGGTACAGATGGTGCGGGAAACAGAACCGGGATGAGACAAGCAAAACATGCTAACTGCTTTGAGCTAAGTGAGTAGGCTGGACGTCATGCAGACTGTCTCGCCTTCACCCAGGAGATAAGACAAAGACTTGGTCAGCTTGTCAGTATGGATGCGAGATGGAAGGTACCCGGCAAACTGGCCGAACAAGGTGTTATCAATATACTTCTGCCGACTGGCCCAGACAGCCGAGACATACAGACAGCCGAGATATACGCATCAGGAGTTTTCGACCCCCTGGTCTGGCATGCGCGCAGATGCTGGACCGGGACCTGACCGCCCACCAGTGATCCTAATAGGCTGAAGCAGGCGGTGAGAAGCCGGGAGACTGGAGAAGGTGTGAAGCAGCAATGCGCAAGCAACGAATCAGAGGCTCGTGTGATCTCACCTTCTTCCGGACGTTCTAAGCGGAGTTCTAGCAGCTGGCTCCAGGGACGTCCTAATTAAGCATTTGCAGGAATTGAACACGCCATTTACCCAGAAGCAAAAAGCGCTTCCTGACTCTTCGCTGCACTTGCTATTGTTTGTTCCTTGTTGCGCTCAGGTCTGCACCTTTGCAACATCAGTCATGGGATACCACAAGGAGCGCGCCCAAGGCTGCAGGGCCCACGGCGCAGGTGCGGGCTGCTGTCGCAGACGAAACAGCGATGCTGGGAGTGAGAAGCAAGCCTGAGGTGATTCAGGCAAGTGACCAGACACCTGTTGCCAGACAGGCTACCAACAAGCCATTGATTGCATCACAAGCTCCACAGGTCTCCCCGCGAACGAACCTACCGTCCGTGTCCAAACCACCACGGATGATGGAGGAATTTATAGCCCAGTCGAATCAGCAGTTGCTGTCTGCTCCAGGAAAACCTCAGCTCACATGGCGAACCGTGGACTCCGAAGCTGACTATCGGGATCTCAAGCCTGGTGAATACTTCAACCACTTCTTTCACAACAGGGTCCTCACAACCAAAGCAGGCTTGGCCCAATCGCTTAAGGAGCATTCAGTGTCGGGTGGCATCAACTCTGACACCTTTTTCCCGCGGTGCTATGACATAGCACAGAAGAGCGAGAGGGACGATTTTGTCCTCGACTACCGTCGCTCCGCTGCTCTCCGGATTGCCTTGCTCCACAGACGACTGTATCAGGACTCCTGGGACCAGGAAGCGATGGAAGCAACCAACACAGGTTCTGCGGCATACTCATGCAATGAGACTGTCCTACTCGCCTGCACGCGAGTTCTTCAGAGATGGTGTTTGGATCTAGATCCGAAGCACCTCGACGAAGAAGGCAATGAAGCACTGCCAGTCAGCGAGGAGCGTTGCTGCCTGAAGTTTTGATGTGGTCCAGCATGTTGCATTCAGGGATGCAGAGGCACATGATCGTTTGCAGAATCAGGGTTGCTCCGTTCGGGAAGGTAGTGGCAGTGAAGCAGCTTTGACATGAACCTTGAACCTCGCGAGGACTTGTGGGATGCATTGGTGCTGTACAGCGAGCTCACTCAGCCGCAGCTGCGTTCAGGGATGGCAAACGTGAAAGTCGCACGCCGTCCGTTTATCCGGCCTGGGGGCGGAGATCTCAAGAGTGAGGACCCTCGAGACAGAAGCAGGCCGTCTGCTTTGAAGGAGTGGCCTGAGTTTCTGAGCCATTCCTGGGGAAGTTTCGCTGATTCAAACAGCTTCCTTGAGCAAGTGCTGGACAAGCTGGAAGCACTTTTTCCTCAGTACAACCTGCATGGAGGTTGGTTGGGTCAGAACGTCTGGATAGTGAAGCCCGGCACAAATAGCAAAGGAAGCGGAATCCACTGCATGAGCAACCTTGCAGAGTTGCTGCACCACTGTGACCGGATGCCGAATCGTTTGGTGCAGAAATACATTGAGCGGCCACTTCTTTTATTCAGCGGTCGGAAGTTCGATATCAGGCAATGGGTGTTGGTGAGGTCTGTCCGTCCGTTGAAGGTGTTTATGTTCAGTGAATGTTACTTGCGTCTTTGCAACGGGATGTACGACCTCGGCGACCTGCGCGATCGAGAACGGCACATCTCCAATTGGCAGGTGAACAAGACGCTTGGCTGCAGCCATGCGCGTATTTGCACAGCAAATCACGCTCCATGAAGCCCATGAAGCTCCATGCTCACAGCCCCGAGGCATGGCAAAAACGTTGTTGAGGGCGCCGTTGTGTCCCTCGCAGATTTTCAGGAACAGCTCTTTGAGCTCACCAGCCGCAAGGACTGGGGAGAGTGTCCTTACCCGGGACCAGGGCCAATCTGAAGTTTGCTCGGCTTTTCCTTATTTGGAAATTAGACCAACAACTGCCCTGTGCCAGAGTCACAGTTCCTGAGAAAATCCCAAGAGCCTGGCTTGAGAAGCCTGTGGAGGCATGCTAAAGAGTGAGACCACGCTTCTGACAAACTTGATCAAGCAGACGTGAAAGCTGATCTACCGGGAATCTAGCGGCAGGGTCCACTCACTGTAATCACATTCAAATTTCCAGAACTTTCTAGCTTTTTCGAAAAATCAAGCTCTGATGCAATCTCCATGAGGCGCCTAACGGGGTCTTTGTTGCATTCTCCCTTGCACCTGGTGGATTGGGCCGCGCTAGTGGGCTTTGACAGGACTATTGGGAAGCCGTATTGCTGCCACAGATCACTCAAGTTGTCATTGAGGCTGTCCAGTCTAAGAACGAGCAAACTTCGCAGCGTTGTGTCTTGCAGGTGATGCGCTCGGTGGAGGCAAGTCTGCAGCCTCGAACAGAAAGCTTCGAGCTTTTCGGCTTTGACATCATGGTGGACGAGGCGCAGTGTGAATGGAAGCTGTCCAGCTGAAGCTGGTGTGCGAACAGGCAATGAAGCCCTGGCTTCTCGAAGTAAACCTGAGCCCCGGATGCGAAAGCCGCGTGCCCTTCAGCTGCAGTATTCGTGCTGGACAACTTGTTTCAGCGCCATGTTGATTTACAACTCGCAAATTGCCTACTTACTTGTACTTACTTAGGAACATGAACCACAACAAATTGCCATCCTCGCCATCACAGGTCTTTCCTCGAACGTATGCTTTCTCGCATGCCAGGGCCTTGCTAAAGATGTTCTGCTGTCGCCATGCTATCTATGCTCCTTGGTTTCGAGTGCGTCGGTGAGTAGATGCAAGCTTTTACTCGCCGAGTAGAAGCCCTCAGGTCACGCCGCTTGATCGAGGTGCGCAGCAAGCGCTTCTGTGAACCGGTTGGCCTGTTGGTCATGCAGCCAGTGAGCGCAGTGAGTCAGCAGTTTGAAGGTCGCAGTTCTCGGCAAGGAAGATCCTGATGGCGCCTCCCAGCTGCGGATGTTATGGGATTTTCTGAGCACACCTGCGGGGTCAATGGCGATTGAGCAAACATGCGCTACAGGAAAGTTACGTAGGTACAGAAATAACTTCGGAAATCGGCCAGAAACAACTTCCTGTGCGCGCGGAAGCTTTTGCAGCTTGCGGAAGCTCTTGCGAAGCTCTTATTTTTTGACAGATGCTCCGAAGACTAGAAAACCCTTTCGCGGAAGCGCACTTAGACGAAAACGTCCACGGAAGCACCGCGGAAGCACAGCGTTGGAAAACCTGCCAACAGTCTTCGCGGAGGACTTGCGCAAGGTCCGTGGAAGCTAGCAGGCCCAAGCTTCCTTATTTACAATCAAACCTATATACCTATCTGTTTAACGGCTCAATTGTGGGCACAACAGGGTTTGTCCACCTTTTCAAGGAAATGCCTGACTGGATCAAGATATGCGATGACACGCTCGGCTTGGCCCTCGGTCCTGGACACGGCAATTCTTGCATGGCCCTGATCTAACAGAGGATCCTCTATTCGGCGGTACCGCCCCAACTCTCAAATTGATAAACTTTAGCAGCAACCGCTTCTGCCAGTATGGCGCCGCTAGGACAACCTGGACAAACACTCAAGCAAAACATGCACCCAGCTTATTGACAACTATTCAGCATGCCTTGTCTTCTTTAGTTTGCTATTTGCTTTTATGTTAAAGAGATCAAAGTAAGAGCCATCCAGTTTTGAAGCTAACGTGCATGTATACATTCAATAGAAGACAGACAGTAATGGAAAATTGAATTTCGGTTAGGTCGAAGGTCAAGCTAGCAGTTGATGACACTTTAGATGGCAGCAATCAGATTCCATCGATCAATCAGAAGATGTTGCTATCTGGAGCCCGAGGCATGCAGGAGCACAATGCAGGTGTCGTGGACACGCCCAGGCATGCCCGAGGTGATTTCTATTCCGATGCTGCAGTCTTTGGAGCATGCCATCAAAGAGTTTCTTGCAGCCTGAACTGAACTGATCGACCTTTAGTAGATCACCGATTCGTTTTCGGAGCACCTTTCGCATCTTTCGCCGGCTGCCCGCTACTGTCCGCTCTGCCTTTGAAGCAGCAGCTGGTCCAGCAATTTACACACCAATGCGATTGTTCAGCGTGTGGGCTTTAGACTTCAGTTTGTGTAATGTTCCGAGTCACCCCATTCCACTTGATGTCACTCGGATGTTGCTGCAGCAGCTGCTTATGCAACAGTTTAGCCGAGTGATCACATGCACAGGCCATGTGCTGATTTGACTGTTCAGGGTACGCCGTCCCAAGCTTAGCTTTTTGATTTTATCGGTGAACCTCTCAAAAGCCCAAGTGGACAGGTTGAGGCCACGGCGTGCGGTGGCTGGCAGCAGTGGCCTCAAATTCCAGCAGCTCTGCTTCAGCCTATTTTACTTCAGGCGTACCTCTACGACATGTTGAGCACTTCCAGACGGAGGCCAGGCGCCCGAAAGATGGCAGAATTCACGGATGGCGACTGCTGACTGGCAGCAAAAGCACCATGTTGCTTGCGCTTCTGTGCCACTGATTGTGTCGCAGACGCAGCGATGCCACTGTAAAGTGATAGAATCCTATGCCAACGCAGGAATCCACATTTCCAACCAATGATTCCGAGAAAAACACGCCACATGATTCTATAGGTTGGACTTTGAAGATGCGAAAAGCTTTCATCAAAAGATCTCTTGGGCATCTCTTATGATGCGTGCCCAGGATTTACGAGACCATGCAGGGTGGCAGGATCCATTGGGGAATATCCACACGGCATGATGATCTGACGGACTTTGCAGGTAATCTCCATATGGCTCTATGTGCCATGTGAGAACACGTAGTGAGATTTGCCTCTGTAAGTAATGTAATGCAAACTAAAACAGGAGCTGCAATGGACATACGTTGAGCTCAAGCACGTCATGATCTATGGATTTGCACATAGGCTGCTGCATATGTGCTGAGTCACAACTGTCCTTACGGGAGTTTAAACACAAAACCTCACTGGCCTTGTCATTGAGAAAGTCATTGCTATTCAAGTATTTGTTTGGCTGGTCATCGGAGTAGGAGTACGTACGTAGTCTGTGGGGTAGTAGGAGTAGCTTACTCCGCAGGGGCTACTAGTAGTAGTAGTAGCAGTAGTAGTAGCAGTAGTAGTAGTAGTAGTCGTGGTAGGTACCCGGCGGGTGAAAAAATACAAGAAGCACAACTAGAAGGATATCATATGATACACTGGTGTCATAAGTTTTTCCCACTTGGCGCTGCAAATGACGATGAAGTGACAGCATGACCCAAATAGATACAATCATACCATGAAAAAATGACGATATATTCAGAATAAGCAACATCATGATACTCATGCATGAATAGACGCACAATATTACAGCAAAGATAATTGTGTGATGATGACCGCAACAGCAGCCTCTTGTTCGTCGCGAGGCAGCTACAAATGTTCTGGGGTGTGGGCGCTTGTCGTTGAGCATGTTTGCCAGGTTAGACTTCCAAAGTTTCCATGCAGGTTCAGGTTTGCCTGCGACGAAATCTTGCATCGCCTCGCTTTTGGACAACACGACGGAATCCAAAAACGAGGCGATACACGATTTCACCGGCTTTCAAATTCACTGCGCTTGCCAGCATTCTCAGGGCTTCAAGCACGTGCGTGCCGCATTTTGGGGAGTTTTTTCCCTGACAGGTGCCGAGTAGTAGTAATAAGTAGTACTAGTACTAGTAGTGGTATTGGTGGTGGTGGTAGTAGTAGTAGTAGTGGTAGTAGTAGTAGTAGTAGCAGCAGATGTAGCAGTAGCAGTAGCAGTAGCAGTGGCAGTAGCAGCAGTAGCAGCAGTAGCAGCAGTAGCAGCAGCAGTCGCAGTAGCAGTAGCAGCAGTAGCAGTAATCTCTATTCTTAGTAGTAGCCGTAGTAGTCGTCGTCCCTGGGCGCGCCCGAAGCCCCTCTGGACAGCTGCATCGTCAGCATAGTTGAGCTCTGATTTCACGTGGAAATTGGCAAGTGGTCCGGTACCTGCCCGACAGCCGAAACCCGCAGGATTATGAGGGCACCGCCTGCTCGTCCATGAATAGATCGGGCTTTTTGCATCTCGTCATTTCAGGCAAATCACACAGGCTGGCAGCTAGGCTTGAGTTATGGTCTTGCTGTAGCAACAGTAGCACTCGAAGTTGGCAAAGCTGCGAGTCGCATGATGTATCACAGTATGAGCGGGGCAGGGGCGAAAGCGATTCCTTTCACAGGAAAATAATGTTTTTCTGCAGCGGGTGGAATATGAGACGATCACGGAGAGGATTCGCAGGAATAACATACGTCATGTTCAGTTGGTAACTGAACGAGTGATATCATGCTTGGTTGTTGCATCGAAGCTCTAGACTGCTTGTGTACACTTGCGTGTTCGGTAGTATCATGCTTGGTGGTTGTATCGAACCTCCCTTCTCCTTTGGTAGTGTTCACTGCCCTTGCTTGGTCATGTTTCGCTTGGTTGCTGCATGCAACCTCTCCATTCGTCGAAGCACTGCCTGTGGTTGCATCAAGTCTCCTACTGATCTACTGTCCCTACTCCTTCACTGGCGGGTACCGTTTTTGGTCATGGTACAAAGGTCATCATGCCTGGTTGTTGCATCAGGCCTCTTGTGTTCACTGCCCGTGTATGCGCGCGGTACACGCGAAATCATGCTCTCTGGTTGCATCAAGCCGTCCTTCGCCCCCTGTCGTGTCCAATACCCTTACATGGCGCGAAGAACATTCCGCCTGATGGTTGCATGGAACCTCCCTACTTTTTCTGTTGTGGCGTCGCGCAAAATGTGCACAGGAACGTTTGAAAGCAGGGGGCACTGCAGATACTTCAGCTTGTGGCCCGAGCTTGACTTCGATCTTCTCTGACCCACCCACCCGGTGATCAGATCAGAGGGCTTGGTGGTCCTTCTCTGCTCGGAAGGAGGCGAAGGGCCGCCAAATGGGGCCGAAGCAGGGCCCGCTCTTGGAAGTCCCGTCTCCGGAGATTCGAAATGGCCAATGACGCGAGAGAAAAAGCGCGGGCGAGCGAGCGTGGGCAGCCAGAAGTTCCTGAGTTTTACAAAATTTGGTCACTACACTTGCAAGGTCGTGCTTGCATCAAGCCTCCTTTTCCTCCCTATCAGTGCAAGGTCATGGAACAACATGCTGGGTGGTTGCATCAAACCTCCCTACTCACTGCAGTGTTCACTACCCTTGTATGGCCATTTTACGAGCTGCGCCAAACTCAGTAGTTCCGTCCACCCACCTTAGTTTACACTGTTGCGTTCGCTGCCCTTGCACGGTTGTGGTTCCGGTAGAAATCTCCCTAGCCGCTCCGTAGTACTTAATACCCTTGAAAAATCACGCATCAAATCTCATCTTCTTGGTGTTTGCAGTAAAGCTTTCAACTCCATCCATGGTGGTTACTCCCGGAAGTCTTCGTGGGGTAACCGCAAGAATGCCTGTGGGATGGGATGTGCTCATGGATTCATATGTTACCTCATGATGGGCTACTTGACTTACTTGCGCTGAGTCCTCTCAATATATTTGCTCGGCCACGGCACGAGCATCATCATGCTTGGTAGCTCAAATCTATCCTTCACTACGTGTTCTGGAGTGTTTGTACCATTGATCCTATGCTTGGTTGTTGCAACAAGTTTCCATATTCTTTTTGTGGCGTTCCGTACCCCTGCGCGGTCATGAGTGAGAAGATCCTCACGCATGAGTGCCGCATCAAACTGCGAATGACGTCGCTCCTGGTGGTCGCATCTAACCTCCATACTCTCCCAGTTGTGTTCTCTGCCGTCATGGTTGTGGTACGAGTGGCATTCGGCTTGGTGGTTTCATCAAATCTCCCTGCTCCCCTTCAAGGTTCACAACCCTTGCAAAGTCATGACGCAAACGAACCACTTCGCTGGTTGTGTCAAGCCTCCCTGCCTCCTCTGTAGCGATCATCCGCAAGTGTTCGCAAGGATTCGCAAGCGTTGCCATCCTCGGAACTGTCGTCGCGAGCGTCGCGTCTTCATTGCGTGTGAAATATGCCAGCAATTGCAGAGCTGGGCTCTTTCGGGGTTGCCATGCTCGTATTGTCGTTGTTTGTGAATGGCCGCGTATTCCAAGCATGTTGAAAGTGCAAACAGGCGGTCGCAGGGACGGGGCCCACTCGGGGCTCAGCTTTTCACTCCGCTTTTCACTCCGCTTTCCACTCCACTTTCCGCTCCACTCTCACACTCGACTTTCCACTTCAATTTTCACTCCACACTTCGCTGCACTCTCCGCTCCACACTCCACTCTCCGCCTCACTTTCCTCTTCATTTTCCACTCCGCACCCTTCCGTTCCTCTCCACTCACTTCCATGCCGCAATGGCGACCCCGAGTGGGGGCGTCCCTGCGAAGGTCCAGAAGCCAGGACAGATACGATCATGGCAACCGCAACAGTTCCCATCCCGACCAAAGCGACACCACACTAACGAGAAAGGCGGCCGGCGAGGAGAAAGGAGTGGAGAGTGGATTGGAAAGCTTAATAGAGAAATGGGGTTGGAGGAGTGGAATGAGTGGACTTGAGAGTTGGGTGTGAAAAGTGGAGAGTGGAGCGGAGTGGACAGGAAAGTGCATTGGAGTGTGGCACGCAAAGTCGGGTGGGGTGGACTGGAAAGTGGATTGAAAAGTGGTGTGGAGAGTCAAGTGGAAAGTCGAGCGGATAGTGGACAGGACAGGAAGATGGAGAACAGAGTGCGAAGTGGAACGTGCTTGTAAAGTGGAGCGGCAAGTAGAGTGGAAAGTGGAGCGGAGTTGGCCAGGCGCCTAGCAAGGTTCGTGCTTCTTGCTGTACTCCAATGATGATTAGCAGATTTCTTTGGCCTCGGCTTGCCCCTTCAAGTGCTTCTGCAAGAGGATGGCGCCTCATTTGACTTTGCCTTTGCCACTTTAGCCATTTGTAACGCTTCATGACCAGCAGAATGAATGCTTGTCAAAATGGGATACATTCATGCCCGTCCACAACTCTTACATCCAAAGCAATTGAGTTTTGACGCCGTCCGGTCATCTTGATCCTTACGCTCCTCATGATGTAGTGTATACGGTATTCGGAGACCGGAGACTTCTCCAGATTTGATGCCTCCAACTGCAGCATATGGGGTTTGCGGTTTGCACGCAGCTCATACTTAGTTTGCTCTGCAAGCTCTGCATTTAAATCCCTTACATCGCTCAATGGCCTCGTCTAGGTACTTAGAAATTCCAACCCTCACTCGCAAGCCAAAGGCCGTCGAGTCAAAATCACTTAAGACTCACTTCGCTTCTGATTCGTTTTTGTCATGCACGCCATCTTGATTTGACTTCCGTTGAGAATCCTGTGCGACGCTTCGGGCCCTGCAGTTCCTCAAGGCGAGGGCTGCAGGCCACTTACAGGCTGTCGTCGCCTCCCCTCTGACCGTTGTTGAAAGGGATGCATACTGTGTATCAATGCAGAAAGTCTGGATTTCCATGTCTGTACACAGCGTTTGGATGGTGCCTACTTTCTTTGGTCCCACTTCTCTCCCCCATGTTGAGCGTGGTTTTTCTGCTGCAAAATGAAGACATCGGGATCGAGCCAGAGGGCAGACTTTGTTGAGTTTTTTCACGGGCAGTCGTGCTAGTGAGGTCCGCAGAGTCGAGTAGGAAGGTGGCAAACCCAATACATGAAGCAGCCTGGCAAACGTTTGAGGTGAGTCTGCCAGATGCCTCGCCAATCTCGCCATCAGACTCCAACTTGGTGGCTTGTCTGCAAAAGCCAGTGCAGTGGGCCGAGATGCCGGCTCTTTGCCAGCTCTATTTGTTCTTGCTCGTGCTCTGTTGTGAACAGGAACGCCAGACCGACCAGACCGACCAGGCCAGGTGGTATCACTCTGGCGGGCAATTGAACCCCAGGGAGCTGCAGTCGCATCATGATCATCATGTTGCATCCAAGAGCAATCGTCTGCGTCAAATCTGCAGACCGCAGATGTCAGGAAGAGCCAAGATGCGAGGGCTCACACCGCGAGGTTAGTCGAGATGGAAAGGCAGTGAGTTTTGATGACGAAGGCCATGTTCAGGACCTTCACAGTTTGCTAGCTGCTAGGGCTTGACCCTTAACATCATGTGGTCCTTGTTGATGATGATATGTCTCAGCAGGGCTTTGTGCAGGACAGTGAAGCCAAGGTGCCCAGAGCCAGGTTCTCAGGTAATCGATGCCGATACTGCGAACAAAATGGATGTTATTTTGGGTCATCTCCAGGCTATGGAACGGAAGGGAACAGGGTTCCTGCACAAAGAGGACGTGCAAACCCTAGTAGGGGCAGATGACAGCTGTGACGAAGAGCAGGCACAAGCTGCAAAACCAAGTTGCGCAGGTTCTTACTTGCTTTCCTGGCCTGATAGACGCAGGCGGGTGAAGAGCACAAGGCCGTCTCCTTCGAGACGCCCGAAGAGGCCTGCAATGCACTGCCGGCACAGTTTCTTGAAGTACGCACCATGATGTGCTTCCTATGCTTGTTCGCGTCTTCCTGTCATCACCCCTATTGAGCTGTGTTTTTGAGGAGGAGCAAAATCACCTCAAACCCGAAGGAAACTTGTGCTGCTCTTGTTTCAGGTCGGAAGTGTTCACCTTTTATACAGCGGCTTCAGCTGCAGCAGCAAGTCAGGTCAAAGAAGGCTTTCACAGCAATCCGAGCATGCACTCAGTGGACAAAATTCAAAATCTCTAGAACACAGCGCACACCCGTGCAAAGTGTGACTGCCTTTCGCTGCAAAGCATGTGCATGCGGCATGTTTTGTCATCGGCAGGCCAGTTCTGTATATCGTTTGGCCGTCCCAAATGCTCAGCAATTACGATGGCACCCAGAAACAGTAACAGCCCGCGAGTTGTTAACTCGAGTATATGTGCGAGCATCAGTCAAGGGGACTTTTGTTGTAGTTGTGCAGCCACATGTGATGGTTCCCCAAAGATGAACTAAGACTACATCGATTGTCAGAGACGAGGTTCCCTTCGGCAATGCTGAGGCTGATGCCTCAAGGTCACCGATGAAATTGAAAATTGGACCTGCTTGGCCACTGCTCTGCAGTAGCACAGAAAGTGCAAACATGAAATTTGTCGGATGCTCCTCGAGCAACATCACAGCAGACATCACAGTCTGTGACAGGCGACCTCCCGAGTCCAGGTTCTGGCCCTCAGAGACTTCTTCACCCCGGCGCTTTGCCGCTCGAAGATAGCTCAGGTGCGGAAGGGCACTGGCTTTGTGACCGCAGCAGACTTGCCATCGGAGGAGGAGAGCCGTGCAAGTTTGGAAGCCAGTGTCTGAAAGCTGCCTCCTGCAGGACGAGGAGGAGACGGGAGCGGGCAAGCACGTGGCCTTTGATCCAGCAGCGCAGGCCCTGCAAGTGTGGCACATGATAGATCC